CAGAATCTCTAGCAGAACAAATTCATAAACTCAGTATCCCAAAGTCAAAAGAAATTACATATAAACATTTTGAAACTAACAGTACAATTAGTGAAGATTATGCGAGCAAAGTTGCTTCATGGGATATTTCAAATGGTTATCGAGATGACAGGAATGACAATAATAAGAGATCAGTTTCTGAAGACAGTGGTAGCCGCAGTAGTTCAGACAGTGAATTTACAGGAAACAAGAAGCAGAGCTATTCTGAGGTAAATTATCTTTCATACAAATATATCATCTTTCCTCTTGACATATTTGGAAAATGCATCTACTTGCTATCTTACTAACTCAATATAATTAAAAACAAATATCATACTCAAAATAACATGTATTATATCAAGAATTTTTTAACATAAAATTATATAAAATATTTCAATTCATAATTATTTTTATATATAATATTTTTGATAACTATGCATACACATGTACAAAATAACTTTATTCAGTACAAAGGCATTTCATACACAAATCACAGCACTGACTTTAATTTAATACATAATAATGCAGCAATATTATTATTTTCCAGAGTTCTGTTAATGAAGACGATACTCACGATGATGAAAATTGTTTAACTAAAATACTTTCTGATGAAAAACTAGCTACAAATAGTATTTTAACACAGCTTGGCGCAATTAGGCGCCAGTTGCAAATGACTCAAATAGAATTGGATGAACGGCAATCGAAGTCATAAGTGAATTTGTCATTTTGAACGCTTTTATTACATATATATAAATATTTTCAGATCTATATAAGATTTTAAAAATCTTCAATTGACTAAAAAATTTAGTATCAAAAATGTATACGCAAAATCATGTTAAACAAAATATTAAAATCGTAAGAACGCCTCTAAACGTGGACCATGCCTTCCTAAAGGATCCATTGGAAACATTAAAAAATTTTGTACCCATGTAAACATCAACAGTCTGTGAAGAAAATAGGTTTGCATAAAATGTGAATAAACAGAAAACAATATTATTTTTACCTTTCTTCAATTGTTTTTGTCCAAGCAGGATTCTCATATAATAAGTCTCGATAATTATCATTTGAAACTATAACACCTTCAAATTCAGCGGCTGTTTGTATGATGTACCTATTTTCATAGTTTTATTCAAATTAGAACAAGTTTTAATTAAGTAAATAAAAACATTTCATAACTTTAATTTTAACATGTCGATTATGTTCAAATGGTACTCTATAACAAAAATTTTTAAGTTTAATAAAATAAAGAATTTTTTATTTCTGTCTTATCAATGATCAAGCAATGAATTCTTCTTCGAATGGAATATTCTTATAGATCAATTCTTTCAGAAAGTATAAAGGACTGTAATTTGAAGTGTATAAAGCCGTATTGTTTTACTTAATAAGCATTCTCTAATTGTATAACTTTATAATTAATTTATTTCTTAAATGATACTATTTTAATTAATAATAAACAAACCTGTCATCATAACTAGCTACAGTTTTTCCCCTAATTTTTCTGGAAGGAGTGCAAATAACTTTGCCTTGATTTTCCAATTCTTGCAATCTTTTGGGATTCGATGAAAAATTTGATGCAAGCCTACATAATGAAATATAGTTCAATCTCAAAGTTGATATTGTTAAGCATACAATGAATTACCTGAAATGGGGTATGAAAACTTTCACCATGTGTCCCCGCTTTTCAAAATAATCTATACATATCTCTATTCCTTCTACAGAAAAATCTCTGGTTCCTATTGCTATTCCATGTCTAAAAAAGAATTATTTTCACAAAAAGACCTTGAAATTCTAATTTTCATTATATATAAAGTTTTTCAACATTTTGGCAGGTCATTGATTCAGTGTGAAATTTTATACAACGTGCATTATGCCCTATAATAGCAAAATACTCAATTAAGCAAACATATATCGTTAAAAGGGGGAGATATATTAATTTTCATTTTCTAATTACAGAGTAAAAAGTTGTAATGACACTCAATGCTACTTATACTTTTAGAAGTATATGCACAAAAAATGTCTCACACTGAGTCAAATGGCCAGCCAATAATATTCACAAAAGCAGAAAACAGTACATACTGCATAGCTACATTGCTTCCATCTACAATTATTGGCCTCAAACCAGTCTTATGTTTGAATACAACAGGATTATAAACATTATACCCTATATTGCTGCTAGAATCTCCTAAAGAAGGGATACTTTCTACAGAATTAATATTTGGTCTTTGAACTTGCGTACTTTCAATACTGCAAGTATTTTGTGTCTGAGGTTGAACAGATTTCTTCCTCAGACTTTCTTGAAATATTTTATTTTTTGCTCTTCTTGGCAAACTCTTTCTTGTTTTTATAATATTGGGTTTTATTTTATCACATGGTGAGTCTTGAATTACTATTACATCTTCAAGTTTGGGTTTTTTATTATGTGTGCCTGATTCTGCATCAGAATTATCACATAAATCAATAAATGAGGGAATTCGCTTCTTTCTCTTTTTTGAATCAGTATTTGGCAATACGATATTGTCTATTGAATCATCAATAACTATGAGACTATCTTTTCTATTGGCATTGTTTTTATTGGGTGTAGAACCAAATATGTTGGGATGTTTTGGAGCCCCATTGGCTGTCTGCAAAATAATTTTTGTATCATAATATACTCAACAACAAGTTTAAAATAAATTAACTCACAGAGATAAAGAACAAGTTTTAAAAAATATATTACACTATTTTGTAATTTTTTTGGTCACCATTGGATTGAATATGCTTATACAAAATTAAGAACATAGTTTTATTATACAATATATGCTTGCCTGTTTTGGTAATATAGTTGATAAATTGCAATTTTCTAAACTTTTGGTCACTTGACATTGTTTATTAGTAGCCTTGGTATTTTCTACAATTACTATATCACTTGAATCAGAAAGGATTTCGTCCTCTGAATCTACAACCTCAAGCAAAACATCATCACTATCATTAATCTTATGTGGCACTACGTTTTCTTTTTTAGATTTCTGGTTATTTTCCATTTTTGTTACACTTTTAACGGACCATGCCTTTGGTTTATTTCATAAACTTTTGTATTATATTATAAAAGTTTATGGCTTATTTACCTATTATCTTTGTATTTCAACAATACAATTATTAATTTAGACACAAAATTATTTCAAATACAATGCAATTAAAATAAAAACAAAATTCTATGCAAATATAATTTGAAAACCATTTGCTAAGCAAACAATTGCTACACTAAATGTCATTCTATTGTCTAACACAGTCCAATAGAGAGCGGGAGTGTGGTGAGTGTCAGAACGAGACAAAAACGGACAAAAGTTTTGTTGGTTTGGTATTGCGTGTCTAGGCTTCCATCTCATGACATAAATCATGGCGCGATTGTCAACATTCAAAACCTCTTGTCCTGGATTTTGTGTAATGTTAATAATGTTAATAAATTATTATATTGTTTAGGGTTAATAACTTACTTTGAATTATTAACTTCCCGAAGGAGGAGTTTATGTTTTCATCAAAAAATCCGATTTGTTAATTTTATGTTTTCTCGACGTTTCAAGCGATTCTGAATCGAATGAGACCAAATTTGGAAAAAGTATGTGCCCAAAAATGGCTGGACCGATTTCAAAAATTTAAAAACCATTTCGATGTATCTCGATGAGGACTAGCGTTTATCAATTTTGCGCGACGATCAGCCAAGCCATTTCTTTGTAAATAGAAGAAAAGTGAAAAAAATTTCGTCCACGTTTTAGCCCGCAGTTCTGAATCGATCTTGAAAATTCAAAAACCGTTCGAAAGATATTAGTTGGGAATGATATTGATTAGTTTTAGGTGAAAATCTACCGAGCCGATTTCTTGAAATTCGTTGTTGAGAAAAAAATTTGACCCGATTTTTATGAAACTTTTTTTAATGATATATATCATGGTCTTATAGAACTTACTGAAATATTACGGCCTTACGACTAGTAGTTTAATTTTAAACGTTCATCTAAGTTTAAGAAAATGAGTAGTTTTTTTTTGGACGATTTTACTTGGTATAACGATAGAGTACTTGGTTTTAATGAACATATCAAGCTATTGAAGTCCTATGGAAACTGGTTCAATTATAATAGTTGTTGATTTCTGAAAATTTACTTTTAGAAAATACTCCGTGCCAAAGTGTTCGTTCGATTTCAATTATGTGTAATAAATCCACTTGGAATACTTTTAATCACTCATAAATTAATTTATTATTTACATATTATTACACATATCGGGAAGTTCATGTAACTGGCCTCAAGGCAAAATACCAAACCAACTAGTTTAAAAATAGTTAGTGCTCGTGAGTGGCGTTTAAACGTACTTTTTTTTTTTAATTTTTTTTTTATTATTTATATATATATATATATATATATATATATATATATATATATATATACATTATTTTCATATCTCAGTCAGGCAGAGTTGCCTGGTATGAGAGATTATGAAAACAGTTTTCATATAATATATACATTTCATTTGACTATAATATCTATTTCATTAATATAATATCTATATATAACTAAAAATTTTCAAAGTAAAACTTTAAAACGGTGATTCTGAGCAAAAAAAGTATAGTAATCTCTACCCTGATTTTAGGTTTAAATTGATCTGGAGAATTATAGCAAATAACTTCTTTACATGCGTGAAAAATATTATATAAAATATTGTAATTGAAACCATAGATAAATAAGAATAATGATTGTAACCTTGTCAATTAACTATTGACTGTATCATTAGTTTTTAATGTTAATTTTTATCTTACCGTTAACGTTAATTACCATCTTATAGATCATTATATACTGTTCGTTTTATTTATATTTTGTTCGTTTATTCATATCCAACATTGTTCCAATTAGAATCCGACTAACGGAATATTCTCGTGTGCTTGCACCCTTAAATTCAGCGAACAATTAAATTTTCTGTGAAGTGGCTACGCTGTTGCTTCATAACCTCTTAAATCCGTTGCTCATAATTAATCAGTTGATAATTATAATTTTCTTGATTACTAAATTTATATTTTTAGAATTGCCAAATTAAGTATCAGCCAAGTTAGATTAAGCACAAATATTTTTTTTATAAATGTTCAAACATGGTTCCAGATAATTCAATTGTTAAACGCTTAATTATTAATTATGAAGACAAATCAAGAAGGTTCAATCAAACTAAGAAAGATTATTCCCGACAATTTTGTCATTTATATACCGCTCGTCTCAAGTTAATGCAGGAAAATGTCTTGAAAGAAGTTTATAAAAGATTTGGTAAGAGTTAGCGGTGTTTGTTACTATAGTTCAATTCTATTCTTATCTTTTTTTTAAATAAATAAGGTAACAAGTATCCTGTCAAGAAGCTGAGTGAAATACATGATGTAGGAGAAAATAAATGTATTTTAGTTGGAACACTATTTAAGCACCAGGAGTTGAAACCAAGTATCTTAAAAGAAGTTTCGGAAGAAAACAAACTAATTCCTTTGCCAACCAGATTTAATTTTGTTGATGATGACGATATATTGATCTTAGAAGATGAGTTAAATAGAATTAGATTAATTGGTGATATAGATATACATCAAATTGCAACAGGTGTCGTTTGTGCAGTCTTAGGTAAATTTATTCAAGTCCAAAATGAAGTATTATACATTTTAATAATACTTAAATTTTAAAACTTTACGTTTTATAATTACACACATTTTCATTAACTACATAAGAGTGTTAAATACTAAAAGAAATAGTTATATAGATATGACATTTTTACACTTGATTATGAAATTTGTTATTCATTTCAGGTTGTGAATGTGCTGATGGAAAGTTTTTAATAGATACCATTATATTTTCTCATTGTGAAAGCATTCGATCAATGATCTTGCCAAAAAAAAGTACAAATCCTCAGATTTTATTGCTATCTGGATTATCTTTAAGTTCCTTAACAGATAACACTTTGTCTCTTCATATATTTAATGATTGGTTGTCTGGGCTTATCGGTAATGGTGAAGGAACGCCTCTGGTTAGAATTATAATTGCTGGTAAGATTTTTCAGATTTCTTAAGTATGCTATATATTGCTTTATTAATATACTTTAATATTATATGGTTATCAAGTTATTTTTTTTAATTCAGGTAATTCAATCAAAGGCCAGAATGACGTAAAACAGAAAAATGCTGAATATAAGCAAAAAAATATTGAAAATATTGGCAATGATATTAAAATTATACAAAATCTTGATGATTTTTTGATGGTATGTGTATCTCCATTTTTGAATAATACTATTGCAAATGCTTTGCATATGATTAATTTGTTTTCGATTTAGGGCATTTGTTCTACTGTATCAGTTGATATTATGCCTGGGGAATTTGATCCTAGTAATCATATGCTTCCTCAGCAACCACTGCATCATTGTTTATTTCCAAAAGCTCATGTGACAGGCTCACTCAGTGCTGTGACAAATCCTTACCACTGCAATATTGATGGTGAGTATATAAAGGCAGAATATAAAAATGCATTGTGACCATTTATACTTGTTTATATATGATTGTGACATGCATTGGAACCCAAACCTACCAGTTTATTTCATTTTGTAACCACACTCATAACTTGAAGGGATTGCATTAAATCGTTGTGGTTTCTATTTTTTTTTAATAATACAAATAAACCAATTAATTTAAATATTGTTATTTTCTATCCATTTGTTCGGATGTATTTTCTTTTTATCATATTGGCCATTTTCATGGTATTGAGCTTTTACACGTAATGGTTGCTACCCCTGGTAGAGGGAGTAGCGGAGATTTTAATAGGACTGATTGTACACTTCTAAAAGTAAAGTCCGCTTAACAACGTGTTTAATAAGTAATAAATAAATATATCTTCTTTCATTATAACTTAGTAACAAATCAGTGATTGTTATAAGAACTGCAACAAACACATACAAATACAAATCGAATCAGTGTTTAATACAGTCCACAGCTACAAGGGTTAAATTATAACTCAACAGCCTGAATTAACAAAGGAGAGTTTACTAAATTTCATAAATACGTAACGTAAATACACCATTCATGATATTGCTGAAATGCTTTCGACATGTTTCATTGAACAACACCCGTGCTCAAATTGTTACAACTTTTATGGTGCTGCTTATAGATTATGATAAGGCCCTCAGCTAAAGTTATACATTTTATCAACTACTTCTATTTAAACACAGTACATATCTATAATGTGCCATGCTCTAACTTCCTCATATATTTCAATAATTTCATGCCTTAATTCAAGCAAGCATGGCACTTTATTTTGGACTTGTAGTTATAAAGCTAAATATTTTCTGAATGCAGAGAAAGCAAAAATCGCGAATTCAACGTATATGCTATTTATGTACTATCACTATCAATATATAGTTAAAATTTCAAATGTTAAAATAATTCTCAATATATTTGCATGGATGAATCGGTACTACACAATTAATATTAATATTCATATAAAATTGAAATGACTAACTATAAAACAGTTTACTATCATAAAACAAATATATTTTTATGCAAGGAAAATCATATATTAGTGATTTTCATTTTGCAATTAATATTCGTATACAACTCTTACACGCCGCTCTTTTGGCGGCTCGTATCTCGAAACGCTCGCATGTCGAGTCACTCATTAGTCGTGGTACCAATTTAATTAATGAGAAGCAGAAGCATAGTCTCTTGGTGAGGTCCCATATCAAAGGGATGAATGCTTTTAGGGTCTCTTTGGAACAGTGAAGATTTCTCTCAAATAAAAAATCCATAAAATGAAAAGAAATACTTATTTATCATAATTAACTTTTTAATATAGCATCAAGTTTTGATAATGAAAATTTTCCATAAACAAATTTATTAATTATGTATAATTTTAAACTGTAGGCTGCAATATTTTGGGTTCATCTGGACAACCAATTCAAAGCCTACTAGCTTATACCAAGATTGAATCTGCGATTGAAGCACTTAAAAATACTGTAAAATGGCGTCATATGGCACCTACGGCGCCTGATACTTTGCCTTGTTATCCATTCATAGAGAAAGATCCATTTATTATCGAAGAATTGCCTTCTATATATTTCGCAGGCAATTGCTCAGAGTTTGCTACTGATCTGTATGAAGGTAAGTAAAATATAAACTATAATATCTTCCTTGTTAAATAGAAAATAAACTGCAGTCTGAGTCGGCCTTGAAATTTTGTAGTTGCATAGGAATAATTTGTATATACATGAACGTTTTGTTTTGATGTTACTATCAATTTAATCATAATGTCCTAAACTATGCAGTTTAGTGAATTATATTAATTCTAAATGCAGTATATTAATACAGAATAATTTTCAGATGTATCTGGTGAAAATGTCAGACTTGTATGTGTTCCTGAATTTTACAAGACTCAAACTGCAGCTTTGATCGACTTAGTATCTTTAGATTGTTATCCTATATCATTCGCTGTAGACTCATAATATTAGATCACAAATATCTACTGCTTCTGCATATGTTTCTTAATGCTGGATCTTTCAAATAAATTTGTTGAAAATAAATCATTTTTGCTTATATATGAGTACATATATATTAATGATGTTCCGACTCGAAAAATTCCTGATTCGAATGATTCAAATCTTTCATTTTCATGATTTCAAATCTTTGTATTAGTGAAAAATCTCAAGCAACAAATGTATGTACATGTTAACAGATCTCACACCTACAACTCCGATACAACCCTGCTCCGATTCACTCCGAGGGAGGAGTCATATCGGAGTGAGTTACCCACCGCTCTCTCTCTCTCTCTCTCTCTCTCTCTATATATATATATATATATATATATATATATATATATATTAGGGTGGTCCTTAAAATGGTCATTTTCGAATTTCTTTGCTCCCATGGGCTCAAATGGTTCCAAATAGATAAAAAACAATTCTGAAAGTTTTAGCTCTTAATATTAACATTTAGATAGAGCGCAATTCAATCAAAGTTTGTATGGGAAGAGCAAAAAGAGAAAAAAATGTTTTAGTTGTAACTTATCGACAAATGAATGAGTTTTATTCATTCATTTGTTCGCTAAATTACATCTAAAAAACATTTTTAAAATTTTTGAAAATTTTTTCATGCTATTTCCATACAAAACTTTGATTGAATTGCGCTCTATCTAAACGATAATATTAAGAGCTAAATCTTTCAGAGAATTGTTTTTTATCTATTTGGAACCATTTGAGCCCCTGGGAGCAAGGAAATTCGAAAATGACCATTCTAAGGACCACCCTAATATATATATATATATATATATATATATATATATATATACATATATAGATATTTTATTGTAAATATATATACATATATTTAATAGATATTTTATTGATATGAGAAGGCTTTCTTTTCTAAACAATTAATCCAATAAATAAAAAACTAAGTTTTTTTTTGTAGATTTTTGTAGACGTTTTGGAACTAGGTATGTTCCATCATCAGGTTCTTCTATCAAGAACAATAATAATGAATATAAAATAACAAAATTAATGATGATGATTACAGAATATTGAAAAAAAATTATAAATGAATGGATTATGCACTTTTTATTAAAAAATGAAGCATGAAAAAAGGAAAATATGTAAAATGTTATTATATTTTTTAAATATTTTTCTTTTTCACCACTCTCCCGGAGTGGGTGTTTATAAAAACTGTGGCAATATTTACCATGTGAGTTGTGCTACAAAATAAGGTTTTAAGTTTGTTGTCGGAAATTTGATACAGTGCTTTGATGTGAGCAGTGAAGTTTCAAGTGATAAACATATGGATACCAATAACATCTGAAAACAAGTATTGAGTGAGCTGGTCATTTGAGCTTCAGGAAACAAACAATGATGTAGTTGTGCTGAGGAAGCATATGATGATGCAGTAGTTGCTGGAGAAGCATATGAATACATGGATCAAATTTCTCAGACATAATAACAATGACCAAAATAAAAGATAAAGAATGCATGATTTAGCAACTTGGGTGGGCTCATTAATTACGTTATCAATGGGGAACGCTCTCTCTTGTTGGAACGTGTTGATATTAAAAATCGATGAAGAGATATCCTACTGATTATATATAACAGTTTTGATTTAACACGTAAAAGACCGCATCAAAAATCGTGCTTTACTCGTGGGGACCGCATCAAAAATGATCTTCCAGATAACCCATATCGTGTGCCTAGCGGAGGGCAAGCGGTCCCTTAATGTAATTGTGTTGTGTGCCACCAGTGGCCATGCAGTCTTCAAAGTGTTAAAAACAATAATTGTCCTACGCAGCGTGCACCCTATTTATTTGATGAATGATCTAGGTTTAATCTAGGTTTATCCAAACGCAAAAAACTAAATAATGTCTTGAGAATATTTAAATATTTTATTACTGATATCCTATAAATCATGTTTCAGTTCTTCAAAACTAATTTCATGAAAATGATTTCAACATTTAAACATTTAAAAATAAAATAAAATATAATGTGCCCAAAAGTGCATCCAGAGAACTCAGTAAATTCATATATGCTTATATTACAGTTTAAACTTCTTAAAATCAAATATGTATATGAAAAAATAAATTGATTGAGAAATAGTTTAGTATGAGTAAAACCTTGAGATTCACATTCTCTTTCGTATGTTTTATTTTCCTTTCTGATCATGTTCTTGTATATGCTTATTTAGGGTTTTTGCACTATTAAAACATTTTCCACAGAAATTGCACTTCTGAACTACTTGCTCTTCCATATGAATCTTTTTATGAACAGTCAAGTTGCTAGACTGGGTAAAGGCCTTATCACATATATCACATTTATAAGGATGTTCCCCAGTATGAACTCTCTTGTGAACTTTTAAGTTACTTGATTGATTGAAAGTCTTATCACAAATATCACATTTATAAGGATGTTCTCCGGAATGAACTCGTAAATGAGCCCAAAGAGCACTATTGTGAACAAAACTCCTGCCACAAATATTGCAATGAAATGGTCGTTCACCTGTATGAGATCTCATATGATCAGTTAATGTTCTTGCGAGTATAAATGATTTACAGCAAATCTTACACTTAAAAGGGCTATCACCTGTATGAGTTCTCATATGCATGCTCAAGGTGTTAAAATACTTATATTTTTTACCACAAACAGTACAACTTACTGGTTGATTATCAGTATGAGTTTTTAAATGAATTTTTAAAGCGCTTTTTTCTGAGAAAGTTCTATTACATGTTTCACATTTATGTGGCCGCATTCCCGAATGAGCTCTCATATGCTTTATAAAACTATCTGGTTGTCTGAAGGTTTTACCACACTGAGTGCAAAGGTGAGGACGTTCTCCAGTGTGAATCCTTTTATGCATTGATAATGTATCAGGTGAAGCAAATGATTTGCTGCATATCTCACACTTAAATGGACGTTCACCAGTATGAGTTCTTAAATGATTTTTAAGGTGTGTTGCTCGGCCAAAGCTTTTATCGCATATATTGCATTTATGAAGTTTTATACCTGTAAATATAATTTTAAAATCGAATCATATATTTACAATTTATATATATATATATATATATTTTGCTTTTTATTCTTTGATGTATCACCCCACAAGAACTTACTCATATATCTCAACATCAAATATCCTGATACCATGGATTATTAAATTAATTGTAAGTACTATTAACTCTTTTTATTTATAATTATAACTTTTTTATTAATAACTAAATGATGGCTATAGCCAAACATATGGATGTAAAATAAATTTTTGAAAGTAATTCAGGTTTTTTATTGATGTTATGCCTGATTACTAGACTTTGTTAATATATATATATATATATATATATATATATATATATATATATGTATATGGTGAAATATATAGTTGTCAATAATTGTATATAAGAGCTAGTTGAAAATAGTTCAACCAAAGTTCTGTAATGATGCTTTTTATATTCAATAGTTTTTTAGCTGTTTTTTAAATTACCTGTGTGGACACGCATGTGCGCTGAGAGATTACTTTGGTCACTAAAAGATTTTGCACACAATTTACATGTAAAAGGTTTTTCTCCTGTGTGCGTTCTCAAATGAACTGTAAGGGCACCTGCCTCTTTGAATGATTTTTCGCATATTTCACAAAAAATATTTCGTTTTTTCTTTACTTTCTTTGACAACTTATTCTGGTTTTCTGTAATAGGTGATAGTGAATTTTCAACTGAAGGTAAATCAACATTCTGTAATTTTTGGTTGTCAAGTTCGTAATTTTGAGGAATGATATTTTCTTCCATTTTCTCTAATGAAACAAAGTAATCGTCTTTACATTCATTATCTACATTGCTTACGATTTTATCAATATTTATTTCTGATGTATTTATACATGGAGACTTGTTACTGATGGAGACTGATATACTATCTGGATATGCGTTGTTTAAATTTATATTTGCAACACATTTGTTTGAAGTCAATAATAAACTGTCATTCAATTCAGATATTTGTGATTCTTCAATATCTACTCCCAAATTATTTTCTCTTTCACTAATATCATTTGCATTCACATTATCATCATACAAAAATTGTGAAGTAGCATCATTTGCTGATTGTGTTTCAAAATTTGGAATATGAAATATCACATGTCGAATAAGATGTAAAGATTCAGAAAATACATCGCCACATAAAGGGCATTGAAATAAACTCTTCTTTACATGTGTTTTCAAATGTGATGATAAAGCAGAAAAATTAAAAAATGTTGTAAAACATATTTTACATTGTTGCGTTGTCTCAATATGAGATTGCATATGAATCAATAAATCCTGAGTTTTCTTTGCACAAGTTTCACACTTTTGAGGAATGCAATTCTGAGATTTTTCAAATCGTCCTTTAGAATCTAGCATTTTCATATTTTGAAAATCGTCAAACATCATTATTTCACAAGTCATATCGGCCGGACATAAAGTTATATTCAATGGTTAAATTTTGTAGAACTTCCACCAAACTTACATTGAATTATTGTTTAGTATAATTATTTATTATTTTTATAATAAAAAGTTGCATCAGTAATAATAAAGACAATTTTTTAATTATATTTGTCTGAAGTAAATCTACTTTTTTGGCCTTCACATTAATTCAGATATTATATTATATTAGAACATTCAAGCCCTAGACAATATATTGATTATATATTTCAAGATTTCGATGTTTGATTTAAGTCAATTGTTATAAAATTATTTGTTTACTTTTACTTTTTAACAAATTTTAATTTTGGAATGTGACAGGTAAATTTTGAAGATGATGAATGTAGAATGAAGATGTCACTGCTAAATAATTAACGCCCACAATTGATAAACTAGTTGGTATTTTGCCTTGAGGCAATTTATAACATGAGCTTCACGATATGTGTAAATAATCGACTTAATTAATAAAAAATAGATCAATTTATGAGTGATTAAAAGTAACGAACACGTTAACCCTGGGTATTTTCTAAAAGCAAATTTTCAAAAATCAATCAGTTTCCGTAGGACTTTAATGGTTTAGTATGTTTATTAAGACCAAGTTAGACCAAGTACTCTATCGTTATACCAAGTAAATTGTCTAATTTTAGTTTTAACAAACGTCAAAAAAAACTACACATTTTCAGTATCATTCCCAAATAATATCTTTAGAACAGTTTTGATGAGCTTAAATGTGGACGAGAAGTTTAACACTTTTTTCCAAATTATAAAGAAACGTCTCGGCCGATCGTTGCACAAAACTGAGAAACGATAATCCTCATTAAGATACATCAAATGGCTTTTAAATTTCTGAAATCGGTTCAGACGTTTTTGAGCAAACGTCGATGAAAGGTCTCAAAATGCCAAAGAAACGATACTAATTTTTGCAAACTTTGACGAATTTTTAAAGTTAAACGAGTTGTCGTAGGGCCATAATATTTAAGTATGATCTAGAAGACTATGGTATCTACCGTCAAATAAAAATCATAAAAATCGTCGACTAATTTTTTTTAACACTTTATTACAAGAAAACGGCCCAGCCGATCTCTACCAAAAACTAATCAGCGTGATTCTCAATTTTTGAATTTTCAAAATCGATTCAGAATTGCGGGCAAAAACGTGGACGAAAATTTTTCCACTTTTCTGCGATTTACAAAGAAACCGCCTGGCCGATCGTCGCACAAAACTGACAGACAATAGTTCTCATCGAGTCATCGAGATACATCGAATGGCTTTTAAATTTTTAAAATCGGTTCAGCCGTTTTTTGAGAAAACGTCGATTTACGGCAAAAAATTTGTTCACATACACGCACACATAATTGATTTTTATTATTATATTGTTTTATTTATTATTATATTGTCTAGGCACGAATCGTATTTTTTGATGAAAACAAACTTCTCCATCGGGAAATTAATAATAGCACAAAAAATTTAATTATCCGCATTAACATTGTTAAAATATTATTTTAAATCGATGAGTTGTGATTCCACAACTCAATAATATGAGAATCTTCCGCAAAATTCATATTATGCCAAAATCCAAAATCTGAACAGGCGGGCCGGCGGGCCGGCGGGCCGGCGGGCCAGGCATGTTATTATATTGTCTAGGGGCCAGGCGGTTTGTTGCGTTGCTATTAAACCACCCGAAGCTGCCCGAAGCATACCAAATGCCAAGTGACAGCCGAGAGACAATTTAATAATAACAGTGACAGTTCGTGGACTTGTTTGTTACCTTACAGAATCAAAAGCAATACATTTGTGATATGCTAGCCAAATATTAGAATTAAGATAAATAAATTGTGATAATGTGCTTATGTGATATGCATACATTCCATAGAATTTTGTGACAATAGTTTTTGTGAAAATGAATTCAATTCCACTTCCTAGAGGATTAGTGCTGAGTACCAATGATGTTCAGACTTGGAAAGGATGGTGCTTATTGAATGATAGAGAAATCGTTAGGATATCAGCAGAATTAGGGACACAAATAAATTTGGCACAAATATTTATTGCAGCTCGAAGAAGTTGGGATTTGGATGAAGTTGAGAAGTGGTATAAGGCTGAGGTAAACGCAATAGAATGCAACTATTATAATAATTCTTTCTTATTTGTTTTGTTTGATCCAAAGGTCACTGCTTGGGTGATTCAACTTTTATCTGCAGGAGAAATAACAATCACTGTACAAATACTTGAGAATACTAAAATTGATGTTATCACACAGTTATTGGTGATAGCCATTGAGGTAAAAGACAGAAAAACAATTAAAACAGTTTCAGACTATCTAAGCGTTTGTGTGAAATCAGAAATAGATGAAATTCAAGACAACATAAATAATTTTCTACATCATTTTTATTTATTGAATTCTCTGGAAAGTTATTTGTTAAATAATCAACAACTGGAAATAATAATTTTGGAGAATGATTTATTAAAGACTGAACTAATTACATTAGAAGAAACAAAAAATTACACAGTTCAAGATATACAAAAACAAAGTAAAATATGGAAATCAAAAATTGCAGCTAGATTATATTACAATTGTCTTGGTAAGTTCTGAAAATCGCTTTATACTCATAATTATTTTTAAATATATATATATATATATATATATATATATATATATAAATATAAAATGTATTTATATCCTAGATATAGAACCTCTATTAACCGGACTAATTGTCATCCAGATAATCGAAAATCTGGATAATCCAATGTATGAAGAATATTGATGTGTATTTATCAAAAATAGCAAATGCATACATAGATATCAACGAAAATCAATGTTTCATAACAAATTAACAATTCCTTTCCTGTATGTACAATTGTACATATATATTTTCTTAGTTTATATTACATAAATATACTAAATTGCAGCATAAATCGTGCAAAAATTCAAATTGTAGGTATGTACATACATATAGCTCTGTCGCAGTTGGTTCGGATAATCATATAACCGAGGTCCGGTTAATCGAGGTTCTACTATATATATATATATATATATATATATATATATATATACATTTTTATATTTTAAAATATTTTTATATTTTGATCTTACAGATTTCAGGTTAACTGTTTTTCTTGATGCAGAAACATCGTGGGAAGATTTACTACAAAGCAATAATATTAAATATCTAAAATCTTGGTTATTCACATTTTTTACAAAATGTAAATATCCATATACTGAAGCAACAGATGTAGTTGATTTCCATGAATTATTTCAGTCTTGGGAAATCACTGATAATATGATCTCTAGGATTGCATGCTTCCCTTGCATGGACTTCACAAAGGAGGAACTTTATGATTATATGACGACATTTGGATACTTTATTGAAGTAGAAAGAAAAAATATAGTTCTTCTTTTACGTAGATTATCTAGAAATAGAGGCTCTAGTACAATCAGTGATATTTTTAAACAAAAATCTTCAAATATATCTTTAGATCACTTTTTCAAGCTGTTAGTTGATTATTGTGAATCTAAAGAGTTGAAAACTGTGATAACAAAATGTATGAGTTCTCGTTTATTTTATAATGATTTCATACATAATATCTCCACAATTGATAAGGAGCACTGGATTAATGTATCAATCACATTTTTGGATCTTATTCAAAGTCCAAATGATGAATCCATAATACTAAAGTGTATTAACTATGCATCTAATTATTTAGCTGGCAATAATATAAATCAATATCTAATTGAAAACCCTTATGTCTACATAGCCACAATTTTATTTGACAAAACCAAGAATTTGTCTACTACATTTTCTCAAAAAATTTTAGATACTTCTAGTGAAAATGTTGAAAAACAAGTGGTGGAAAAACTTCCTCATTTAAAACATTTTTTAGCATTACATCATGAAAATAAAAAAGTTTTTCATAGTGATATATTATTAAATGACATACTTCAAGAACACTGTGATATTCAATTAATCAAAATTGAAGAAAGTGATGTAAATTTTGATAACATCCACTTAACAAAAAAATTTGGCCATAAAGCAAAATTAACTTATGATTATTATATAAAAAGTTGTGCTCCTTGTTTTGCGATATCTTTATATGCTAATGGATTATTAGACGAGAAAAACATGTGCTTTTCATCTGATGGTGCTTCTAATGTTACCTATAAATTAATCATGAAAAATTGGAATGACATTGAAGTTTTTTGTTCAGGCATTTCATTTATGATTATTTTAGGTATGGATTGCTGCAATCTTCGAAACTATATTAATGCAGCACATTTCATCCGAAATGAAAGTCTGAAATTAACATATCATGAAGGAAAAGTATTTGATATAAATCATATAACAAAATTATTAGAGAACATTACTTCGGATGCAAATCTTGTAGAATTTCTTTCACTCATAGAAAGAACAAATATGAATTGCGCAAATCAATCATTTATAAACATTATCTCTCAATGGAAAACTACATATAATATTTGTGTATTACATAATATTAGAATGACTAATTCTTTTCTCATATTTTCTGCAAAAATTGATAAATGGATCTGGTTTTTATTATTTGCTCAGATTTATCTCTTTGTGCAAGAGCAAGTTTCTGAAGCAACTAAATATTTTAATAATTATGCATTACAAACTCATTTGGCTGCTGCTCTGGAAAATAAATTAGAAGTAAGTTGATTTTAAAATTGATGGGCGCTTTACACGGTTTGATTATTTGTATAAATTCAAAAAAATTGTAAGTGGGTGTAGGATATTCATGCAAACTTGCATTCAAACAACTTTGTATTATGCGGAGCGCCTATAACATTATCATAGCATTATTTATTTACATATATGTATATATATATATATATATATATATATATATATATATATATAGTATGTATGTATTATTTAATTATCAGCAGAAATCAAATGTTCATGAGGATTCAAAGAAACCTACTAATTTTTGGAACCTTATTCAAAATGCTTATAATTATGACAATTCCGGCGAAGTTTTACTAAATACTTGTACAAGTCACAAAGGAAATCCAATATTAGCTGTTATTGCTGCTTGTTACAGGGTAAATATTGCTTTACACACACACACACACATATATATATATATATATATATATATATATATATATATATAATATGAAAAGTTCCAGCAATTTGCCTTAAGGCACGATGTCATACACTACTAGTTTTAAATTGGTTTAGTAGTATTTGTCACCCAATTCAGTGATTTTGAATGCCAATTAAACATAAAACTATATGATTATATTTTGGGACACTACTTTATCGAGCAATTTAAAATATTTATTTATTTATTATTAATTTGGTATTAAGATCGATTTAATAACTAAATCTAAATTAATAATTTATTTATATATCATTAACTTCAATTAACAAATATTTAACACTATAGCAATGTGTTTAATTTTTAGCCTGAACATTTAATACTTTGTTGGTATACCTGGTTGTGTAGTGCTACAGGTTATATAAATTTAGATAATGGTGAGACGTTGCTAAACATTTCACCTGAAGATATTTCCTCATTGATAAATTTCTGTGTGATAGAAGGATTTGTAACACAGTTAAATGAAAGTTTACTAATATTTGTGCCTGTGAGTATGTTGCATATATTGCATTTATATATTTATTTCCCAGACACTCTAATTCTTATTATCTTGATTAATATTTTCAGAGCAGTTGTTTTGCTTTCTTCACTAATATTTTAGTGCGAGTGATTGTAAACAATGAGATTGGATGTGATATTACCAATTTATTAGTGGCTTTCAAAAATATCACTATGCATTTACATATTATACCTCATTTGACTATAAATAATATATTTGAGGATAGAAGATGGCTTATAAACAAAGCTATTGACCTTTGTTGCATAGCTTTAAGTTATAATTTTATGTCATTTTATCATTGTAAAGCCTTTCTAAAATGCCTCTCTGAGTCAAAATTAACAAAGAATATTGACACGGATGTAAATTTTGATGATTTGTTAAATATATTACAATGTTTGTATCACACAAATGTTAATTTAAACATTTCATCTATATTGTTATCAAATAATGAAGAAATAATACAGAATGAATACAGCAGATGCTTAAAACAGTTAATTAATGGCCATTATTTTGAAAATGCATTTAAGTTTGCTGAAATCACAAACATTAATACAGATGATATTATTATTGCTCATATGAAGTATAGATGCAATAATCTTCTTACGGATGTCTCTAATTATATGAATTACTGGTTGGATTGTAATAAAATATTCAATGACTCGAAATTGGTCAATAAAAATGCTACAAGTTTATTTTTAGAGTTCGCTGAGAATTCAAATAATCCAAAACTAAGATATATTTTATATCATTTAGCATTGATTTCGGAAAACTCTGTAGAAAGTAATTCAAAAAATATGGATGAAATTGAAAAGAAGATGTGGATTAATTATATTGATATTGAAAATCCAGATGATGTTATGTTATACTCATCTAAACTATCAGATTTTAACAACACACCAGTAATATTACATAATTCAATTGATGAATTAAAGATAAAAGCATGTATCAATAATTTGACAATATCTGATTATCCATTAAGCACAGAACAATCTAATAACTTGTTCAAACTAATATCTATGTTGCTTGATTTAGGAGATTTTATTACAGCCTTAAGAATTCAAATGATGTTTATGTTTTCACACTCTGAATTGCAATTGTTGATCACAATAATGGCTTTAGCTGAAAGTTCATTAAGTCCATACCAAATGACACCGGCACAACGAATGACTTTGTTACAAAGTAAATGTGTACGAACAGCAAGTGGGCAATTTGGGAAACGTACTTTGAAATCTAAAATATCTTCAAGCAACTCTGGTATGTACATTGCATTACATGCTTTTTCTTGCATAGATTTTTAAGTTATTTATTGTAGATATTACTCTGGATTAAAATGTTTACCATTTTTCAAATTTTTATTTAATTAATTGTTTTAATTGGAGTATTTTTATATCAGCATGGGACACTAAATCACTAAACACATAATATATGAAATTCCAGTATATGAGCTTTTATGTTTTCTAATGTAAATAAGAAATTTGTTTTGTAAGTATTTGCACATAAAATTTTTTGTCTTTTCAAACTATAAAAACTAATTATGTTCTGAATATATTTATAGTTATCCATTGTATTGTCTATGTTACCATTATACATGCTTTATTGTAGAGAATTCAATAAATATTTTAATCGCGATTGTTACTGCATCAAAGCTTTTAAGTAAGAATGCTATTATTGCTTCTAATTTGATTCTTGTTTTAATTTTTTTAGTATGTGGTAGTCCCAACAGTAGCTTTGCAAGTTCAATGTTTTCTGACTATATTGAAATACCATCCCGGGAAAAGCAAGATACATTATGTACTATTGAAGCTTTGGCAGCTCGTTTGAAAGCTGGGCGTTTCTCTGGACAAAGAATTGTAATGTGTTATAGAGCAGCAATGCATATGGATGTAAACTATTTAGATATATTAAGGGAGAATGATGTTTTGAACTTATTAAAACAAGCTATTAATGGTAATTGTTTGAATAAACTGGTTGTTATAAGTGATATTATAAGCGCCAGTGGATTTACATCATTACAGGTATAGCAAATTATCCATATTTTAAAAACTTATTTTTATTATTTTATGAACTTAACACAATTATTTTATATGAGGGTTTACTTATTTAATAGTCAGTTGATATATATTTAAAAAAATGATTTTTATAGATAGCTGAATTTTTGGCATATGAAATATTCAAAGCAATCTTACAAAGTATAAATGTTAAAACCAAAAGAGATGTATCAAACTTTAATGTAGCAACACTGTGGGGCTATAACTTAAGTGTTGATTTTCATCTTTTCTTGGAACTTTGTCCCAATCCAAGTGATATTGGAAATGAGTTGCTAAAATATCAATCCTCAATACAACAGATAATTAATAGTACGGCTGCAAATAGAAAAGATAAAGGAAACATAACTGAAACACAAGCAAAAGTTGCCAAAGCATTAGAAAACACTAAAAAGCTTACAATTATAGATATAAATACAGTATGTGTGGACATTTTGATATATGCGCATGATAGTTTCACAAAGGATTGTAATATTGAAGGAATTTCATTAATCTTAGGTAGAGCACATATGCTATGCTCACAGTTGCTCCAAACTAAAAGTTGGGGATTAATGGTTAAACTATTAACTGGAATTTCAAGATATACAGAAATGACTTATATATTTGATATAATAAAATCCAACCATCAATTTGAATTTCTTTTGAGTCAATTCAACTGCATCTTGAAACAGCATGATTCTAAAAAAAATGATTTAAAAATGGCTCTTTTAGAGTTTTTAAAAACATATTGGCCCCAAGATTCTGAACTTAAAAGATTAGTTGCATTGCATTTCCAAATGCATAGTGAAGTAGCCGAGCTTCTGAATATTGAGGCTACTGAAATTATAAGAAGAATGATTAATATTTCTATGCTGGATATGACAAGCAATGATTTGAATTTTAAAGATTTTCCAGTTAAATGTCCACCCTTTGTATTATTAGAGAATACAGCTGAAATTCGAGATTGCTTAATTCGGGCTATGAACACATATAGTCATAGCTCTGAATATTATGTACAGGTGAATTAACTCCGCATACTCATAAATGTGAATTTTGATATCTATAGTGTACTCTTGTTAATAATATTTTTTTCCAGCAAAATAAACTTTCACTAGCAATGAAGTCAGCGGCCAAAGCAGAACTTGTAGCATGTCAAATTGATTTACTGAATAAGACACCTGCCGCTAGTAAGGGACCAAGTGTTATATGCATTTTACAATTAAAACCAGAACAAATTCCTTATGTTGTTAATAATGTATTGAGGTAATGTAAATGTACTGTATATAGGCAACATTATGTTACGTTTTTCATTTTCAATTCTCCCTTTAGTGGTAAATTTTGATAAATATATGTTTACAATACATTAAATAGCATTATGTTTCTCCAAGTTTTTATTTTTTTCAATTATAAACTTATGGGAATTAATTAATTACAGTTTTCATCAAGCAATTATACTTCAACGAGCCTATGACTACACTGTTAATTGGGTTTCTGCACTATATGAGCATTGTATAATAAATGGTGATATGCAATATTTAAATTCCTACAATAAATATTTCAAAATAACAGAAAATATAGCTTCAGAATTAGCAATGAGGTGAGTTAATTAATTTTGTTAATAGTTTATATTTCATTTTTATATTATATTTTTTTCATAGATTTCAGAAGGAAACTAGAATAACTAAACAAATGATTCAGTCACTCAGATGTGTGGTTGGATGTCTAAATTCGATTGCTGATCGTTATCGTTTGGCATCATTATTGGGACAAAGAGATATTGTCGAAAATATTCTTTCTTCTGAAAGTGTTTGTTATCTTAAAGATACTGTTTTTATTGGAAAGAAGTGTCAATAGTTAAGCTGATTAATTTATTTTATGCAAATGAAATTAATATATGAATCAAGATGTTTATTTTATATAACATTAACTCAAAAATATAATGAAATATATTATTTTTATTATTTAATTATTTATTTTATTATTTAATAAATAATTGAATGAAAATATAGTTTTAGTTGAATATATTCAATATATTGGATGTTTCACACATATGGTTAATAATTATTCATAGTTATAATTTCACTATTATTCAACTAATTGTAATATGTTTGATAGCGTATTTACAGTTCATATATAATTCACTAAATTAAATTTTTATTCACCTGTAATAAAAACTAGTGGAATGTATGGCATCGTGCCTTAAGGCATATTGCTGAAACTTTCCGTACAGTAACGAAATGTTCGAGGAATCCTGAATGTTTTCAAATAGATTATTATTATTAATATTGTCTAATATTTATAAGAATTATATAAACTGAATTACAAAGTTGAAATTATTTGTTTAAAGTATATTAGAACTATAGTCAGAATTAAAAATAATATCTGAATTATTTTTGACATACAAAAAAAAATTTTTTTTTTAAAAAAACGAAAAAAAAAGTTGAAACAAAAATTTTTTTTTCAAAATCAATTATTTTGTTAAGACAAGCAGAAAGTTCTCTCACAAACTGCCATTTTTTACACATTTAGTTCCGTATATTCGAAAAGGCTGGTCCTGCCTTTGTCAAAAACTAATCATTTCTCCCAATCATTACAAATTGAATGTTCATTCAAATGATCATTCAAATCGGATGCTCCGTTATCTCAAAAACTTGATTTCTATTTTCTGCACTCTTTGCTCTTTACCTTCGTAAGTGCTGGACCTGCCTTTGCCAAAAACTAATCAGCTCATCTCCCTATCAATAGGAATCGAATGTTTTTTGAACCATTCAAATCGGTTGATCCGTGCGTCCGAAAACGTGACTGGAAATTTGTATCCATACATACATACATACACACACACACATCCATTTTTTGAAATGCCTTTATGCATCCCAGACCGGTCTTAGGTCTGGGTATGTCGGACTCGATACCGCCCTGGTATAATACCGAATAAAACCTCCGCTTTGCCCTTGCCTCTGGTCCTCACGGAAACCGCCGTTAGGCATTACTTCGTGGGGGGAGGATCTAGAATGATAGGCATTTCCTTCGCCATACAAAAAAGAAAAAAAAAACACATCCATTTTTTCTGAGGTATGCCAAAATGTTCAGAAACCTTCAAAACGTCGGGAAAGTTTTCAATTTTGATTTTCGGCCCATTACAATAACTTAACCACCTGGAAATAAAAAAAATTCAATGATGATGGGACAAACCAATATCTCAAAATTCAGCCTTTATATCATTCAATATATATATATATATATATATTTTATCAACAAATATTATATAATATCAAACATATATAATCAATGTATACATAATGTTTGTCTTTTTTTTTTATTAACTTCTTGAAGGAAAAGTTTTTTTTTGGAAAGAAAATAAATGTATGTGGGTATGTGAGACGATTTTTGACCTCAAATCGAAGTTTTCTCAAAAACGTCTACAACGATTTTAAAAAATTAAAAGCCATCTGATGTAACTCGATATCGATTTCTTATTTATCTATGAATGAGGATTCACCATCGGCAAATCAAAAGTGCACCTCGTTTTAACCAGAAATCCAGCGAATTAAAATGCATTCGGTCTGAGAGTCGTTTTTTACGTTTTATGCTTTAGATATAAGTACATATGAATATATTATGTTTTAGGTTTTGCATCCTGCTGTAGGAAATGCTCTTTATCCTAGGTAATATAATAATTTCTATTTATGATCTAGACAATATATAATATTAATTTGTGATATTAATTATATTGTCTAGGATGTGCAAAAATTAAGGCTTTGTATGTGCACAGCGTATTATGTATATACCAGGGGTGTCAAACTCAATTCTGCAGCGGGCCATATATTAAATTTTGAATTCACTGGCGGGCCGGATTGAAAATAACTAGCGTAAGTGGTATTTAGCCTTAAGCCAAATTGCATAAACTTTTCGATGCATTGAACGTAATCAATTATAATTGAGATTTAGGTATTTAGATAGAACTTTCAATTATTTTTTATTTCGAATATAAAATTTTTTCTTTCACTATAATGCGATTTTTAATTGATATCTTTCAAATAGATCTTTAATATATGTATTTGTATTAATTATAATATGTGCATATATGTCTTAAAAGCACAGCACAATTTTGATGAATTTTTATAATTAAACAAATTTCCGTAGGCTCTATCACTGTCTTCAAACTCGTTCAAAAACAAAACGGCTCAATTTGACTTTTACTCATTTATAAACAATCTCACTTCAGTATGAACTATTACGAAAAAAATCATTAGTAAAAATATCGTTTACCTTCTTTACAGCTTTTCAAATAACACATGAAACTCATATCTCTAAACTAAAAGACACCCTTAAGTAACTAAATCCTCAAAATAAATGTTTTGAATGGTTGTTCAACAAATTTTGAACTTTGAATTTTTATAATTGAACCATTCGTCGTAGGGCCCTAATATTTTAGTATGTTCTTTAAAACCATGATTACTATCATCACGAAGTCGGTGTTTTATTACGAAAAAACTACCCGGCCCATCTTTAACAAAGCCTAATTGGCAAGATTTCCAACCAATATCTTTCGAACATTTTTTTAATTTTCAAAGTTGGTTCAATACTTTTGGCCAAAAAAATTTTCTTCTTAGTGGTTATTATAAACCCGCAGCTTGGGCGATTGTTGAAAAACGCACGAGTCCTTAACGAGTTACATTGATTGGTTTTAAAATGTTTGAAATCAGTGCAGCTGTTTTTGAGAAAGATCGCATAGTCGTCGCACGTATACGCACATAGTATGCACAGAGTTTTGTTGGTCTCAAATGCTTCAGAGTGACTTAAAACGTAGAGAAAGCATAAAATTAGGAGATCAGATATTTTGGCAAAAACAAACAGAAATTATTATAAAATTTCACCTATTAACTTAAATCTGTATATAATACACGGTTTGTTAAGAATTCGTAAAATATATTATGAGCGTTAACGAATCCCAATAGTGTAAAGGTGCGTCCACACCTAACGAACGAACACGAACGAACATGTCGAACAAGAAAATACAAAATAGAACGAACAGGAACACGAACGAACGCAAAAAATTCCAAACAAACGACTCAAAGCAGTGAGGGTTTGAATCTTTTTGTTCGAGGATGTACCGTGAAACGTCAGACTTATTATTTAAAGTGGCGGGAAAGAAAAAAATTATTTAAAGTCATCAAATTTACAAAATTTGTCAATAACAGCAATATCTTATAATAAATACAACATAAATTAATGCATTAATGCACATTTTAACACCAAAAAAAAAAAAGTTTGTCTACATTCGTGGTAGCGTCCACACTGCACATACGAGTTCAAACATGAACGAACAATTCCCTTTGATGTACCGACAAGTTGCGGAACATTGCTCGCCATGTTTGTTTATGTTTGTTCGTGATCGTCGTGGCGTCCACACTATGCTGTTGCCGTTCGTTCTGGTACGTTCTTTTATGTTCGTTCGTGTTCGTTCGTTAGGTGTGGACGCACCTTAACATGAACTATTTTTTGTAAGGGTCGTCCGTTATGCTAGTCTAGAGTGTCGCCGGACACTGTCTACATGTCGTTCACAGTTCAAGAACTAAAAGCATTAGTAATATAAGATATTCTTAATTTTGATGCAATTTATTTGTCTAGAGCTAGACTGTCTATATCCGCGTCGATGATTTTATTTATGGGTCTGCAAAATGCCTTGAGATAATTTCAAGGAATCATCCTTCTCAGATATATTAAGTCCAAGAAATCCAAATATGTGCAAATTAATGTAACCAGCCTCTTACGGGCGAGGTTAATATTGTTAATCTCAATTTTTAATAATTTTTATTTAGTATAAGTTCAGAGCTCAGCATAGAATATATTTTTTTATAATAAACATATTAATATCAAATGTCGCCTTTTACTTAAATAATTACAGATCACACCAGTAGTTCAATTATAGAACAAATTTAAAAGTGTAGTGGTTAGGAGAAGTAAATCGACATCACCCAGTTAGACGTCGAAGTAATGTTTTAAGCTTCACGCCTTAACACGGTTGTTAACAAATATATCCAAGTTATGTAAATTGGAAACTAGAAAAATACTCGTTATTAAAAGGGATCCTTGAAATAGGAAGGGAATTATCAAGAATTTCAGTTTAAAAGTTTTGAGAAATCAATTTCATTCTTTTTTGAAGTTTTCAAAGTTTACTATTTAAAAATATGTGTATAAGAGGATTTCTCTCGCCGTCATTATGTTATGCTTATTTATCTATAGCGGCCGTATCGATTTAGGCCAGAGGCCGGATACGACCCGCGAGCCGTATATTTGACATGTCTGGTACATATTGTGATATTATGATACTGTTGGCAGCATGAAATAAACTATGTCGAATCGTTGGTTTGGTATTACTGCGTCACTGCCCCGTACATAATCACAAGATACAGTGTTAAATGTCAGCTGACTTAAAAATTATTTTGTGAACAATTTGCGTGAAACAATAATTTTGCAAATATGTCAGGAAAGGACAGGCTCCCAATTTTTCCCTCTAGAGGGTAAGTTTCTTAAAACTAGAGTTTCTCCATATCAATAATATGTCGAATAGATAAAAAAGTTAAATGTATTTAAGACATAATGATGTTCATTCTACACACTTGGATAATTAGATTTAAATTTATATTTATAACCAGATAAATAAATAGTTTTAACTTTTTTATGCAATAATTCTATATGGATTTAAAAAGTACGATTTTTACTGTAGAGCACAAATGTTGATGAAGTCTCGGCTTGCTGGAGCTCAAAAAGGTCATGGATTACTTAAAAAGAAAGCAGATGCTTTACAAATGCGATTCAGGATGATTTTAAATAAAATTATTGAGGTGGGT